TGTTTCCCCCAGGAATTGTTCCCTCACCTTGGGTGATTGGAAGTTTTGTGGCTTACACCTCCAAAATTCCCCCAGCCGGCTGGCGGGGGAATTCTGGGAGTTGTAGTCCACATATCTTCAAGTCGCCAAGGTTGAGGAACCATGTCCTGGAGCAACCAGATGGCCCTTGTTTCTTCTCCCTGCCTTGTCCTTTGAAGCTTGGAGAGAAACCCATGATGACCGAGGCTGGTGGCTTTGCCACAAATGAATATGCAGCTCAAAATGTAGTTCAAATCTGAACACTTCTGAAGCTTTGTTAATGATTTGTAGATTCAAAAGAATATGCAAATATTGGCAATGCATTTCCAAAAATAGACACATTTGGTTTTGAGGAAAATAAGAAAATAGAATGAAATAAGAGGACAAAAAAGGGGAATAATGTGACTGACAGATCAAGTTTTTAACCATAGTGAAACTATTTTCCTAGAACTCACTAATCATTCTGACTTATGGGGAAAGGATCTTGAAATCAAGTATCTTAGCACCGTTCACCACTTTTTAGCAGTTTTCTCTATAAAAATGTAGATTTCAGAATATGCCATTGTTTGCTTCATGTCCATCAACTTCAATTTTATTACTATTTCTGATTAATCCACACAATTCTCTGAAACAAGAAATATTTACAGTAATGTAAAAAAGTACACCCCATGTAAAGTTTTTTTCTTTTTTAACATCTGTAGACATATCAATATTTTATCTTCATTCAAACAGTATATAAAGGTGATGTAATTGAACCAAAAAACTAGGAAAAATTGACTTTGCACTCATTTATTTAACAAAAAATTAACAGATATGCCATTTCCTTCTGTGGAAAAAGTAAATATACCCTTGGCTCTAATACCTGGTATTGCCCCCTTTGGCAGAAACAAACTCGAGCTAAGTGTTTCTTATCATTGTGTACCAGTCTCTGACATTGATTGGGAGGACTTCTTTCCCACTCCTCCATGCAGAGTTTTTTCAGCTATGTGATGGTTGAGGGGTTTCTTGCATGCACAGCCCATTTCAAATCACCCGACATTGTCATATAAGTTAATTAGATTTTCATTTGGCTAAGCCATCCCAAAAAACTCATTAACGTAGACACTTGACCCTACTTTTAAACTGTGTGAATCTCTAGAAACACAGTTGTCAGGAAAAAATATAGTAGCATGGCATGTGATACCTCATGAAGTCATATACATAACTGGGTAGAACAAAAGACCACTAGAGTGATTGGTATTTATTTCTGCATATGCATGAGTAGGATTGACTTTCCATTTCTCTCATAATTGGTTATCCCCTATCTATCCTAGAAACATCTTATACAGAGGTCTAAAATTATAACATAGGGTTGCTGTTGTTGTTGTTTGTGCTTTCAAGTCATTGTTGACTCCTGGCGACTGCCTGGACTAGTCCCTGCAATTTTCTTGGCAAGATTTGGAAGTGATTTGCCACTGCCTCCTTCCTAGAGTTGAGAGAGTGACTGGCCCAAAGTCACTCAGCTTGCTTCATGTCTAAGGCCAAACAGAACTCATGATCTCCTGGTTTCTAGCCTGGTGCCTTAACCACTACATCAAACTGGCTCTCATATCAGAGATATACAATGAAAAAATAATAATGCTTAAGTATTGCAGTACACAATACTAGAAGCTTTTGTATTAGAACTGGAAATAATACTATCTTTGGCTAACAAGGTCCAAGCTGAAAAAAATACTCCTTCTTCTAAGAAATCCTGTTTTATTTTAAAGGATGTGTGTTTTATTTTCCATGAGTGGAACAACATGTTTATCTCATTCTCCCTGAGAATTTTTTCAATGCTGCTAAAACTGCCCCCATCTCCATCCTCCAGTTTCATACTAATCATTTGGAAATTAGAGAAATACATAGCACGCCTGTGAATCTTATATTAAGCTATGCAAAACATACTCAAGATGGCTGTGGCCTTTGCAACTTTGAAAAATGCTCCTAATGTGAGTCATGCAATGTTCAGGCATGGTATGACTTCACATTCCTTAGAGCACAAAAGAACATTCATTATATCTAATAATGTCTTAAAGGAAAACTTTTCAAGAAATGATTGGAATTTGGGGAACAGTCTAAAAGGACAATGACAAACTCCAGGGTTTTCTCCAACACTGAGATCTTTTTGTTAATTTATTTTTCCAACACTTTGCTTTATCAGATGGTTTCTGGTTTTTAATAACCCATTTTGTATTGCTCCCATTTCAAGAACACATGACAATCAGAAGAGCCCTGTTCAATCAGATCCGGTGCCTATAACCTCTCATTTCTCATGGTAGCCAGGCAAAAATCATGGGGCAATTCTCAAGCAGGGCATGGAGGCTTTACTTTCTCCCTGCTTTCCTCAGAAAATGATACATAACAGCAGGTAACTTTTCATTCTGAAAATGGTTTATAGCCATCCTGACCACTTGCCAGAGATAATTTCTTCCTCCATAAATCTGTTTTATTGCAGAGTTAAAGTGCTGCATTCTGGAGTGGCCAACCAAAATTATAATTGCAATCAAAATTTCTACGATATGGGCCTAAAAGCAGAACTGACATCACCAAAGGATGAAAGTAAAACAAATCATACTTTTGACATTCATTTCACTATTTAACTTCTTCCTTTCCCATTCCTGCCCCCATGAAACTTATACTCTCCGACAGATATCAGTATGTATGTAGTACATGAAATAAATTCTACAGACAGAAATTTTACACATCCCTACCTGCACAAGACACCAACTACCAACCTCCACTGAGGTGCAAGCACCTAAAATCTCTACTTCCTTGAATCACTTGAAATAACAACTCTTCTCCTCTTCATACTTAAGCAACCGATGAAACTCGTAAGAGTTCATCTTGCATTTTTTGTTTTCTTTTCACTAAAGACACTGCTGTGATTGCCCCTCACCTCCCAGTTCATATTTCACTCAACCCAACTAAGAAAACAGATCTCAAACAGAGTATTGCTGGCTTCCAGATTTGCAGCCATGCAACACTCTCAAGGAATATGCATTTCATCTTCAAGGATCCTCTAGAGCTATGGAGAGAGTAAGATTTTGTATGCTTCTCTGTACATTTTTAATACTTTCAAAATTAATCCTCTATTAATCACATCAGGAGGAATGTTTTGCAATCCAATAGGTAAAGGTACACAGATACATGTTGCTACGTTTATGTAAATATAGTTGTGTGTGTGTCTGTGTGTATATACACAGTGTGTGTATACACACAGACACACACGTTTGTTCAGGGATGGCCAGACACTTAATTACTCCTCTTTTTTTTTTTTCCTTTAAACTCAGAAGTACTGGAAGCTCTGGGGAAGCAGTACACTTAGCAATTTGCACATTTGAAATATACAGGGTGAGTCCTCTTTGGCTGTACCCTCTGTGGCCTTGGCTATAGGCCCGCTCAACATCAGAAGATACTCTTTGCAAATCCTAAACCCACAAGCACACAGACATTAAACTAAAAGTGTTTTTGATCTGAAATAGCAAGGGCAAAGTACAACAATCCCAGGGTGGCTTTAAAATGGGTTGAGAATTACTTGCAATGGGAAAGCTGGCAGTTATGGTAGAGTTCTGTTTTAAGCATTGTTTATGTAGGAAGCCTAACTGCTCAGTGCAGTCCAACCAATCTCATGTAGAACACTTGGCTCTGTAACCACTCACACACGATCCCACGGATGAGACAGCAATAGCAGTCCTTATTTTTCTGTCTGGTTGTGGCTTTTTCTATAATACAGAGGTTGGCTTCCAGATGGTTAGACTACCCATGAATCTGAATCTCTGCCTAAGGAAACCTCTAGCTTTGTGATTGCAGATAACAGTTGTTGCTCTCCTCACAACTGGGCCACGGAAACAGCTATGTATTGCGTGCAAGGGGGCTGTCACTGTAATATACCAATGATAATCTTTCATTTATTGATATCTTAATTTCTGACATGATCAAAAATAATTTCCAGCTTTAAAAAAAAATGTAAATCACATGTTCATGTTACTTGTTCTATACCTGTGAATACTAATAATAGTTTTGCACAGTGTAGAAAAGTAGGGATCTACAGTTGCTTAAGCAATGTTACTAAAAAACAAGTCAAGATCAAACTATGTTTTTAGACTATAGCTGGCCTCAACATTATGAGTTCCTCAATTACAGACATCACAAGGAACTGTGATTAGTCTTTAATCTGAAGCTACTTTTTGTGGGCATGAAAGAAAAATAGTAAGAAAGAACTGCATGTGCCTGAAGTGTATCTCTGCTTGTTCTCATAGCCTGAAATCTGATTTCCTATTACATCTGAATCAAACTTGGGTATCTGATCCTTCTTGGATGGGTGAATGCTCATGCAGTTGCCAGCGATTCTATGAGAGTGGTTATGTAGTGATATTATCTCTTTTGATTCTAGAGCTACTATTTTGCATTCTCTTTAACTCTTGAAAATAAAGACTCACACATGAATCAAGCTTGTTCAAGACTAATGTAGCCACAACACCAAAAGGACACTTTTTAAAAAGTTTAAGACGACTTTGTAATAATAATAAAAAAGATTTACCTGCTATCTTTAAAAGCGTGGTTGTGTGATCACTCTCAGTCAACTTCACAAATCCAATTTGATTTCTGAAGTGATCAGTACCTTGAAAAGATAAATCCACAGGCTTTCCTTGTAGTAATTCTTCAATTAAACCTCCACTCTCCAAGAAAGCACCAACTGCACTATCAGGAAGAAAGTAATACATACATACATACATACATACATACACATACACATTTCAGGTTTAATACATATAATCACTACATTAGCTTACTATAGGTAGTCCTTGCTTAATGATCATTTGTTCAGAGACTGTTTGAAGTTACGGCAGCACTGAATGGTACTTATGCCTGGTCCTCAAAGTTACGGCTGTTGCAGCACCCCCATGGTCATGTGATCAAAATTCAGGTGCTTGACAGCCTGCCCACACTTGTGACCACAGGACTCCCCCCCTCCTATCAACTCCCTCCCACTTATCTCCCCCACATCTCTGCCCTTTTGGCCACCCTACACAGCAGCACTCCTCGGCGGTGGTGCTGGGGCTAAAATAGAGTCCCAGGGCCTTCAGCAATCTCAGCCAGCCACCCCTGCCTCCAGGCCTCTACTTCAGCCCCAACGCCGCCACCAAGGAGTGCCACCTCAGGCCCTGTGCCCCAGCCAGCCATCCCAGTGCCACAGTGCAAAGCCCCACCCACCCCATCGCCCTGCGCTCTGCAGGCCCTGCCACATCCAGCTGACCTTCATGGTCTTCCTCCTGCTGCTGCTGAGGCATGCCCGGCCGGGCCCTATGCAAGGCAGCTGCTGGCCACACCAGGCCTTTTTCCCAAGGCTATTCGTGCCATTCTCAAAAAGCGTATGTCGTTCTCCGATTAGCATGTGCCATTCTTGTGATGCTTCGGAAGGCCTCAGAAGCTTTCCAAAGGGTTTCCAAAGCATTGCGAGAATGGCATGTGTGATTTGGAGAACTGCAGAAGTAGCCTTGGGGCCACTGTGAAGAGTGGCCAAAAGGGCAGAGATGTGGGGAGATAGGCGGGTGGGGGGAGTTGAAGAGGAGACAGTCCCTTACCTTACCAAGGCTCGGGGCTGGGAGAGACCAAGCCAGGAATCGCTTGGATCAGGGTGGGTCCTCACCTAATGACGGCGACAGGGACTGCCATCACTAAACAATGTGGTCATGTGATGTCACACTTTACAACCACTTTATTTAGTGATGGAAATGCCAGTCCCAATTACTGTCATAACGCGAGGACTACCTTTATTAATTATTTTCTACATTGGCTCCTTGATTATATTTCATAACTTTCCTGCTTAGAGCATACTAAGAATAATTAAAATTATCAATCCACCATATGCAGTTGTACAAAATGCTAGCTGTAGTTAGCTATAAATTCAGGACAACTACACATTTTTTTTATAGGCTTGCAATTTGAATGGAGGCAAGGAGGAGAGCAGAGGTAGTTCAGCCTTTCCTTATAGCCCATTTTGGCATCCTTTGCACACCGCTTTCTCTAACTCACACAATAAGAAAATGCTTTTTCCCTAGCATGGTTTAATTTGCTAAATTAATTTGCTAAATAAATAAATAAATAAATAAATAAATAAATAGTTTCAGATCAAGTTGCATAACGTAACATATCTATAACATAACTTGCCATAGAAAGCATAATAAAACCTAACATGATCTGTCCTGCACATTTTTAAAAATTAATCATGTTCCTTCAGTGTCACAGACAAAGTAAAGTGTCAAACTAGGGGTTGGGAGAGTTGAATTCAGAGCCCTGCTTAATTACGAAATGATATAGTTAACCTTGGGCCAGGACCCTGTTTTTTTTTTTTAACCTTACAATTTAATGTTATTCTGATGAGAAAAGAATAAGATTAAAACACAATACAGCTTAAAAATAATTAATGGGATTTACTGCCCAATAGGCATCATTAAGATTTCAGCCTTATTAAGCCTATTATGGTCTTTAAAACCTTTGTTGTTGTTATTGTTGCCACTGCACTCAAATAACTATCACTAGGTGGCAGTAACTACCTTTTAAGCAAGCATCCTTTCTTTCATATATTCTACTTAAAAAAACGTTCATTTTGACACAAAGTATGCCTTCAGCAAAGAAATGGTAAGATGTGCAATTAGTTCCTTTAATGATTACCACTACAGCCTACTACAGCCCTAACTGTGGCTCAGGATATAACATGGAACTTGATCAACACAATTAGGCATATGCTCTGACAATAATTTCCTTTAAATTAATCATTTCCTAGCTGTCCTTTTCCACTCCTTTTTGTCTGCTGTGGAACTCTGAAGGGCACAGTATCTGTGTGAACTGTAGAGGCTCCCATGTCATGTCCTAGAGACCACGTATGTCACACTTTTCAAAGCCGCATTACTTCAGCACATGACCATGCGCCTATAAATATATTTAATAATCTCCCATGGCAACACACTATGGGGGAGAATCAACAGCTAGAAGCTGATTTTCAAAGAAACCTGCTTACTACAACTGATTGAGAAGTTACTGAAGGGTAGCAGAATTATCAGTGTTCCCTGGAACACAACTTTAAAATCACTTTTAAAATCATGACTTTGTTTAACTTCAGCTATCATAGGAAAAAGAACAAGGAAACAAAATAGCAAGCAGTAACACAGCCTGTGAAAATAATGGATAAGCTCTTGGATTTGGACTACGAAGACCCAGTTTTAAGTCCCTCCTTGACCAGGGAGTTTGCTGGGTTGGTCTATTAACCCAACCTTATAAGATTGCTATTATGAGGTATACAGGTAGTCCTTACGTAATGACAATAGGGACTCGAAAATTTGTTGTTAAGTAGGGCAGTTGTTAAGCGAGTTATGCCCAATTTTACGACCTTTTTTGCATTAACCAAATCACCACGCGCCATTAAGCAAATCATGCAGCAATTAAGCCAATCACGCAGTTCCCTGTTGATTTTGCTTGCCGGAAGCCGGCTGGGAAGGTCACAAATGGCGATCATGTGACCCTGGGACGCTGCAACTGTCATAAGTGCAAGCTGGTTGCCAAGCACCCAGATTACGATCATGTGACCACAGGGGTGCTGCAACGGTTGTAAGTGCAAGGACCGGTTGTAAGTCCTTTTGTTCAGCACCGCTGTAACTTTGAACAGTTACTAAACAAATGGTTGTTAAGTGAGGACCACCTGTAGAATGGGAGGGTGGGATAATTTTATAAATTCCCATTAAATTAAAAGTTTTGCTGAGCTTTTAGAAAAAGTTGGAATATAAATGCACCAAGTAAATAATTTCAAGATAGACTGTTTCAAGGCTAAGTTCACATACATAGGCCAGCAACTCTTTTTCTTCACATGACAGTTTCTAATATTAGATTCTGTGAAGAAACCCAAGGCCTCTCACTGCCTACATGCTGAAGAAACAGGCAGTGGTTAGCTAGTTTCTGTCATAAAGGCAGCCCTTTTTTTTAATACATCACAAGTACAGGAACCAGCCACATCACAGTGGTTTTTCTTTCCATTCTCTGAGAAGGAAGGTCTGGGTGGATTGCATGTATGAACAAGCAAATATTACATGGGGAAAAACCTAACCAAGAAAGCTTATACACAGCTCTCCCCAAACAAGAATGTAGGGAGTTCCAAAAGTCATTCACACCAGATTTATAATTTCTAAATAAATAAAAAAATAATAATCAAGCCACATAAACACTAAGAACTGACTGGTCTTGATATCTCTGAAAGAGAGGTAGGTACTGGCTGTGATGGAATATGAGGGTGACCCTGGAAGATGGTTGGGGAGAGATGCGGCCTAGGGAACGATCAGATAAAAGAGAAACGAGTCCGCAACAGAGTAATAGACAAAGAAAAAAACTTAGGAAGGACCCACCCTAACTACTCAGGTGGTAAATAGGGAGAGCAGGAAATTTGTACTTTCAGACTTGCAAGATTCTGTTAATGTAGCCTTACAATAAAGTAGAAT